GGGGGTGGTAGGGGTTTGGGAGTTTGTGGGGTGAGGTCCCTTTAAGAGGCTAGAGGCGGGAAAGTTTGGTCCTGGGGGGCCTGCCCCTTTAAAGGGTCCTTTCTGGACTGTTGGGTGTCCAGCCTATCCGCCTGCCCCTCCAAAATAAAGTGGGGAGAATATGGGGTTAAAGATTGGATTAAAGCAGATTAGGCTCGCCCTCTCCTCCATCTCCAGGCCTGGGCGGTGTAAGGGAAGAGGTGGGTAAACATAAAGGATTTATTTTCCAATCAGGCATAAGCGAGAGGCAGCTCCGCGACCGTTGCGTGGTGTGGGGGTCCTCCGCCGTCTCCATCACGGCGCGAAATTCAAACAGACCTCCCGCTTCCCATTGGTCCGCCACCCCTTCTAGCCCACCCACTGAAACTTGCGATTGGCTACGTTTCGCTGTCCATCACCGACGGCACCGCCTTCCCGTCCATCGGTCGGACCCCACCTGATTGGTTGCTGTTACCGTCCATCGCGTGCGTCCCTTCGCCCGATTGGTCAGGTTGTGCCTTAGGCGCCGCCTGTTTCTTCATCGGCCTTGTCAATCTCAAGCACGTGGCCACGCTTGCGGTTCGATTGGTTCGTTTCCGCACCGGTCCCGCGTCTCCTGCACTTCATTGGTCTAGGATTCCGTCAATCATTCCGCATGCGTAGATCTCCGACCTTCCGATTGGATGTTGAACGGAACAATCCTTCCGGCGTGAGGCGTTCCCTTCCGCGATTGGCCCCACCTGCTCCCCTTCTCAATTGGTCTGTCAAGCCGTCGATTGGACGGATCCCTACTCCCATTGGACCCGGTCGCACCCCGGACCCGCCTCCCTGCCTCCAATTGGCCCATACGGACAGGAAACGTCGAACAGTGCGCAATCCGATTGGACGGTTCCGTGCGCCCGATCCCGCCCGTGCACCCTTGCCCTTTCTTCCCATTGGTGTTCCCGGGCCTTCCGTCACCACCCAACGGGGAGAGCGGCCAATGGCGGGCGAGTATCGCCCGACTGACACCAGGTCTGACCAATGAGGAGAGGGGGGCTCCCGGTAGACCGGAAGTAGGGAAAAAGAAAGGAGGAAAGAAGTGGGGGAGGAGAAAGAAATAAAGAGGGAGAGAGAGGAGGAAGAGAGAGAGTGAGAAAGGGAGAGAAAACAGGAGAAAGACAGAAAAAGATTTAGAAAGTAAGTAAGTTAGAAAGAGAGAGAGAAGGAAGGTGTGGGTTT